CTGCTGCTGCTGCAGCAGCAGCAGCAGCAGCTGCTGCTGCAGCAGCAGCAGCAGGGGGCGGCGGCGGGCGCTGCTGCCGGCCCTGCAGCCCCCACAGGCAGTGCGCCCAACGACAGCAGCAGCAGCAACGGCACCAGCAGCAGCAGCAACGGCACCTGCAGCAGCAGCAGCAACGGCACCTGCAGCAGCAGCAGCAACGGCACCTGCAGCAGCAGCGGCAGCAGCTCTGCATGCGACGCTGCAGCAAGCTTGCCTGCGCACTGGCGGTCCACGCGGCTGTGGATCCCCGCAGCAGCAATGGAGGCGCTGCTGCTGCGCTGCAGCAGCAAACTGCAGCAGCTGCTGCTGGACCTCTCGCTGCGCAGGGGTTTTGGAGTTTCTCCTTTTACTCAAATTAATTTAAACTTCAAATTAGCTGCTCTCAAAGAAATGCAGCTCGTCAACATCACCCGAGACAACTTCAGGTCAGCCTGCTGCTGCTGCTGTTGCTGCTGCTGCTGCTGCTGCTGGGGCTGCTGGTTGCGGCGGCTGCTGCTGGTGGCGCTGTTTGCTGCTGCTGCGTTGCCGTGCTCGTTTTATGGAGCTGTTGCTGCTGCCGCTTTTGCTGTGGAGGCCGCCGCTGCTGCCAGTGCTGCTTTTGCTGCTGCTGCTGCTGCTGCTGCTGGCCCAATGCCCTTTGCTTCCCGTAAAAGCACACTGAGCATTCAGCTAGCTGCACGGCTAGCTGTGCCCAGGTAGCTAGCTAGCTAGCTAGCTAGTCAAGTAGCTAGCCAACTAGCTAGCCAACTAGCTGGCCGCCTAACCAACCATCTAGCTGGCTAGCTAGCTGGGCAGCTAACTAGCTAGCTAGCTATACAGTTGGGTAGTCAGCTAGCTGGTTAGCTGGCTAGCCAGCTAACCAGCTAGCTAGCTAACCAGTTAGTTAGCTAGCTAGTCAGCTAGTTAGCTAGCTAACCAGCTAGCTAGCTAGCTAACCAGCTAGCTAGCCAGCTAGCTAGCTAGCTAGCTAGCTAGCTAACCAGCTAGCTAGCTGCTGGTGGCTGCTGCTGTGCTACAGGTGTGGGGAGTGCAGCTTTCCCAACTTGGAAGTGCTGCGGCTGCACTGGGCAGACGTTTGCCCAAGGCAGCACAAACTCGGGTACGCAGCACAGCAGCAGCAGCAGCAGCTGCTGCTGCTGCTGCTGCAGCAGCAGCAGCAGCTGGCGCCTCAGCAGTAAAGCTGGCAAGCTCAATCCTAGCGCCTTGTCCAGCGTTTGAATATAGACGCAGCAGCGGCAGCAGCAGCAGCAGTGGCGCCGGCGCACTAGGTGCTGCTGCTGCTGCAGCTGCTGCTCCTGCACCAGCTGCAGCAGCAGCAGCGCGCGAAATGGCTGCTGCGTGTTGCTGCTGCGCTGCTGCAGGCTGCTGCTGCGGGGCTGCACCGCTTTGCGGTCTTTGTCTGTTCACGCGGACTGCGACGACGACGAAGCGCTGGTCCAGACCACTGGTCTGTTTGCTGCTGCGCTGCAGCAGCTGCTGCAGCACGAGCCGCGGCAGCAGCAGCAGCAGCAGCAGCAGGTCATGGAGGCCGGGCCGCCTATCGGCTTGATGACCGACGCCGCAGCAGAAGCAGCAGCAGTTGCTGCTGCTGCTGCTGCGGAGGAACGGGGCATCTGTCCGCTCCCGCTGCTGCAGCAGCTGCAGCTGCCGCTGCTGGCAGCAGCAACAGTGCCGCTGCTGCGTGCTGCGGCACCAAATCTGCAGCTGCTGCGGCTGGTGCATGCAGAAAGTCACAGGTGCAGCACAGCAGCAGCTTAGCTTCCTAAACCCTAAACCCTCATTATCTCCTCAACTGCGCTTCTGCAATCCCTAAAATAGGGTTTGTGAGCGCGCCTCTTTAGCTCGAGGGGATCGGATCCGTGCTGCTGCTGCTGCTGCGCTGCCGCATGCAGCAGCTGTGTCCACTTTTGTCTGCTTAATGCCTGCTTCTTCCTGCTGCTGCTGCTGCTGCTGTTGCTGCTCAGGACAAGTCGGGGTTTGCTGCCGCTGCAGCTTGCAGCGCAGCAGCTGCAGCAGCTGCAGCAAATTGTATTCCCTACTCCTGTTGACTTCGCT